CTACACCAGCTCCACCTTTCCTGCACAATACGGATGAAAATTGTCTCAAATGACGATATCCTACGAGTCGACCGAATGAACTACGCAGCCGCGCCCTCTCCATCTCTGAGTTAATGCAGTGTATGTAAAATTGTGATCGCGATTCGGTCGAGTGAGTGAGGGTGGCGGCGCTGAGAAGGACCCCTATAGCAGTATATCTATGGGTAATGGGCTTCAAGGATGAATCTGTGTGTAGCCGTGTCAGCGATAAAGGTATGCTATATGCTTCAGATTGCAACTGAACTGAAGACAAACTTGCTTGCTGCTGCATTTTCGTTGGAAATTGGGTTTGAAAGCTGCGGAGGCTGGCCGGAAAACCTATGAATTTTATGGAAAAGGAATTTGTACGGAGCAGAAATACTTTTTTCCTATCCCTCTGCAAGAACTTCACAAATTTTTGACGAACCTCCGCAGCTTACAAACCCAATTTCCGCTGAAAATTTAGCAGCGAACAAGTTTGCTCTTCTGCCAGTTGCATCCTAATGCTTTGTGGTCACTTTGTGTCGATTTGCACAATCGATTTTGCAAGAATCAGGCTTTCTAATGAGCTCGAGAACACGAAAAATAAGATAAATAAAAGATAGGGCTAACTGACAACATTTTGGACCATCCAGGTAGAGAGTCTGGAACGCATCGGAGAACAAGTGACGTGGAAAAAGCAGCAGGAAATATAAGAAAAAGTCGTAATCTCGGAAGGTTCATGGAAACCCGTTGAATTTTGACGGGGTAGTGAAATAAGTGATTGTTGAATGATCAAAAATATTCGGGTGCGTATGAGGGCTAACCAATGAAGAAATATATTCTCAGAGGTGTGAGTTATTTCCGCCCTTCATTGCGAAAAAGTCACCTAACCTAAGTCTTGCAAATCATCTATCCTATTCATGGAAGCACACTACTTTGATGAACAATAAATTAATGATTTTCCCTACATTTTTGCAGTGCTTCTTTTAGAAGTTTATTTTTCATGATTGTCCTGCTATTTACTGGAGAGTAAGTTGTTTCAGGTATTTTCGATGCCTGTAATGAATGCGGCTGGTCGGCCGCTATCGCTATCAGCGCTTTCTGCGCTTTTTGGTGACGTCATCAGACAAAGTCCCGAGCGGCAACCGAACGCTGTTGGTATTATATCGTCGGATAAGCGTGATCGATGGGCAGAGATCTACGAGCAACTCGAAGGTAAGCCGTTGTGATTTTTCCACCAGTCAATTTGAGTAAGCGATTAATTTGTTCTGGAAGCCAAGATACTTTATTTCTACCCTTATCATGTTTTCCTGCCTCGTCCTTCTTTCAGATGTCGAGCGCATGGCTCATCCTTAAGAACTCATTCCTCACTGGAATGTTTTGAAGTACAACAGTGTTCAATTTTCACTTTATATCAGAGCGGTGGTCACACTCTCTGAAGATCCGCTACATCTACTAGAGTGGTTGGGAGACGTAGCTACATAGGCAAGCGGATGGGAGCGGGCGGGGCCAACGTCGTTTGTGGAAGGGCGGAGCGAGAGTGTGGGCAAACGTCCTCTTGCAGCCCTACCACCAATGACATAAGCAGCAACCGTCCGCCCACAGCCACCGCGCGCACTGCCTTTGAGGCTACGTAGATCTGTGCTTGGTATTGTCATTGTGTGGCAAGTATGCGCGAAGGGGGGAAGCCGGCATAATCTAACCTGATCACAGGCACGGGAAGGTTTCTGACTGATTTGACATCAACGCGCTGATTTGCCCCTTCTGTGGACGGTCTCCCCTATTCGGTTGGACATTTGTGAATTTCATTGAATTGCTATCCCAAGCTGATACCACACAGAGCCTTTACTCACCGTTTTTGCACCGTTCTTCTCTTGTTCTCTGCAAACAATCGGATGGAGGATGTAGTTCAATACCTCTCATATACGGTGGGTCGAACTTCATTGAAATCATCCTCCTTTCAGGGAATCCTACGAATTCTTCTCATCTTTCGACAATTGAAGATG